TATACCCTTTAAAAGATGACATATTTCTTACCATACCCAACTCAACATCAATTTTAATTACTGGATTCCCTTATGTATTTACATATTATGTTTACACATGGGGGCTCAAGCTTCACTGTAATTGCTTTATTTCCTTCCTCTTTTTAGAAAATTTTAAATATCCAGGAAAAAGCGTAAGACCCAACATCAAAAGTGCCAGTCTAAAACAATGAGAATACTGCCATGTGAAGCTTGACAAATTTGGATTTTGCCTAAGCAGCAGACGTAAAAATTTTTAAGGGGGTGGTAGGGAATCACACATACGGGTGTACATAGATTCTTTGAAGTAATTAGTAGACATGATTCTAGGTAGTACCAAGGAAAAAAGGAGAAAACAGACAGGGAGAGAATTCCAAAGACACAGCAAGTAGGAGAGTCTGAAAGAAAGATGAGTTTGAGAAGATGGATCATTCAAGTCCTCCATCTCAGGAAGACAGTTCTCCTCTCCATGGGTGTCCTGTACCCACAAATGTAGGCCGTTGACAGCAGCATTATGGGATTGCTTATTTCATCCACGTCCATCTTCTCCCCAACGTATTTCTATTTTACATAATCACCACTTTCTTCCATCTTTTTCGTACTTTTCTTCTTTTCAATACCTTCTTTAGTCAACTGACCTACCCTTTTATTATGTATTTGGTGCTTACTAAAAATTTTGTTTTAGTTGTTGTTACATGTGCTATTGAGTCAGTTCCCACTCTTAAGGGCACTGTGTGGGGTTTCCAAGGTTGTAAATCTTTATGGGAGCAGAAAGCCTCCTCTTTCTCCTGTGGAGTATATTATTAGCTTTTGTTTAGTGAGTATTTTCATACTATCTTGTATTTTTTATATATCCTCTTTCAATTCAATTTATCTTAATCTTTCTTTTACTTCCTTGTCTTATATTGCTCTTTCTTTCATTGATTACCCTGCAGAAGAAAATTTCACCCACTACATATGCATTGGATACATACGTAAAGTAACTTTCCAAATTGGTACTAACACTGGCCTCAGTATTGCTGAGCTGGAAAAAGTCAATTTCTTCATTAGTATACCCTCTATTTATCCTTTTGAAAAATCATGTTCCTTCTTTTCTGGATTATTCTGAATTGCTGCAGTAGAAATGCTAACATAGACTCTAGCATCCTAAAGTAGTAGATCTTAAGAGGGTAGACAGCTAACTGAGAAGTAGAAGGCAGACGTAAGATAAGTAAAAAAACGGAAATGGTTTTAACATTATTGTAATCCTTAAATGGCATATGAAAATATCATACACTGAACATCCTGCCAACATCCTATTGATAAAGGAGGTTGTGAAACTATCAAAATTAATCTTACAAACCTAAACTGGGCTGATAACTATGTTCCCATTTTGGTTCTTCCTTTTCTAATGCTT